CCCCAAAACCCCAAAACCCCAAAACCCCAAAACCCCTCTGGAATAATATAAAATGACAATATTGTGATATAATATTAAAACATGCATACAAACCAAAAGAGCCAATTCATCACTTATTTTGAAGACTCCTTACCTTCTCTAGAATCATCATCTTCTGGATTAGGATCCGAAAGCTCTAAGAGTTCATACAAGAAGGCTAAAAACTTCTGCTTACCTTCTTTCTCTCCCTCAGCTCCTACTGTACCAAAATAATTGTTCAAAGAAAGCCCCTGGGAGACCTTCTCCGTTCACTAAAGCCCAAAGTGAGAACTGAAAGACACCTTCGCACCTAAAACTCACTATCAACACCAAAAGTGCTAAAAATTCCTGCAAATCTCAACTGTGAGCTGAGGAGTACCTTTACATCCTCCCGCAAAAATCCATTCACTCTCTTGAGAACAAATTAAATGACTTCCTCACTTGTGAAGGAGTCAAGCAAATTCATTTACAAGCAGCCTTCGAGCAAGTCCGAGGGTTCTAAGATTAATCTATCCATAATACTAATGCTTGAAGCTGCCGTCAGCAATCAGTGTATCCATATACTCCCTCGTCACATGATTCAAAGGATACTAGGACTCAAGACCTGGTATTATCTTTGTGTTAAAAATATTGTGCAGGCTTCTAATTACATTAATCTTAATAATACATTACTAAATGATTTAACCTAAGCTTTGGCTTGTAATTATACAAATTTTAAGTTGAACCTATTTATTATTTCTACGCCTTGCTCACAATTAACTATACCAAATACTTTACCTGAAATTACTGGCACTGATATCTAGGCATGTATTAGTATCTAGAGCCCATGATACAGCCAGGATGTATCATCAGATCTAACTACTAAATACCTTCCTTTATGAGCAGAAGTTTAGTGAAGGTATTTAGCATAATTAATTATGAATCACAGGTAGTTTTAATAAAATATTAAGTTTAAAATCCTCTAGATATAGCTGTATTGCAAATTACTGAATTAGATAATATAGGCAGCATAATATTTGAGGCCAATTAGGTTAAATTGCATGCGTTATTGGGACAGAGATTTTCATTGGGTATCTGAAGAGACTTAAGCTTATTTGTTCGGAGAAATTAGGAAGGGCAGGCTGTGGTCGGGGAGGAAGAGATTTTGGGGGGAAGGGGGTAGGTGAGGTTTGGGTATAGAGGGTTTGTATTGAGTATTTTGTTTTGGAGAAATTTTTGATGTTGGTGATTTGGTAATTAAATTTGGAGATTTTTTAATTGTTATTAGTTTAATTCAGTTTTAGAGATGAGGTCATGGAATCTAGATTTGATTATATGGAATATTTTATTTGCTGGATTGTTCTGAGATTCAGAGCTCAATACCTGATAGAGAGACCTTGATATGTGTAAATACACAAAAATGCAGTCACTGGTTCTTCATTATCAGAATCAACACCGAATTTTTGGGTGTAATTGATATTTCTTAGTTAATAAACTCCACATAATTTCTTTGAATTCTGATCATGGTGATTTTTAAGCCTATTTTATTCCAAAGAGGAGCATAAAGAGATCTAAAATATATGTATGATTCTCAAGCTAGATTCTAAATTAGCATAATTCTGAGATTTGATGATCTTCTAAACTCCTGTGACATCCTATAAAGTCTGGTTTAAATTCTCTCCTCCATTTTTGTGTACAACATAACTTGTAACAGCTTATGTTTACAGGATCCATCTGGGAGGGCCAAGATATCACTTTGACTTAATTTACAAGAATTATTATAGTTCTAAAAATTTATGAAGGCTTTAGCAATTTTGGGTTCTAGATTGAGTTTTTATGAAGATAATTTTAACATGTCAGCAGTCAAGTTTTAATGAAGAGAGCTCAATAAGAAGCTGGTACAACTCTTAGTCACAGTACTACATTATTCTTGAAGCTTACTATAATTCTGATTAAGTTAGGCGTAAGTAAATTTGAGCAGAGGCTGAGAATAATAAGGTTTATGGGGAAGCTACTCTATTCAGTATCCTGCATCTAAAATTTTGTATAGAGTCTATTCCTTTTTGTATCTAAAAATTTCTTCTTTATTTCTGACTCTTAGATCTTTCCAGATGAGTGAATTCTCAAAACCACACTGAGTGGTATGCTTACTAGAACTTCAATTTTTCAATAATTTAGCTCCTTAAAGGGGTTTTGGGGTTTTGGGGTTTTGGGGTTTTGGGGTTTTGGGG